TATATAAGAACCTCAAATTATTATTATTATCAATTCAAACTCAGAATTCTGTATTAAAGTGTCCTAAACATACGTGTATTACAAGGAATCAAGCGGGTGCCACTGATGTTCATTAAATGAGACAGTTATATTTAGACCTGTGTATGGGTCAGTCACTGTTCATCAGGGTAAAACACTGAGATTACCTAAGACCTCATAAATTACCAAAAGGGACTTATGGTGATAACTGTATTCTAATGTTGTTATAAAGTTGATATATATTACAGGTAAGTAGTACTCACCTGGTTTCTTTAAAGGTAATGAACCTGATTTACTTTGTGACGTAGAAGCTGGGGCTGGCTGAATAAATAATACAAACAAAGCGTTACTCCCATTGTTAATTACGTCAACCATAATTGTACATGCATGATTCTTCAACTGAGAACAAACATAGTATGGTATATGTTACAAAGGTCACTCTGCTTCCCCTGGGGTTGTAATGAGATAATTAACATTGTAACATAGTAGCTTATTAATTACTGTAATATCCTGATATTCCATTGTGAACATTTGATTGGTCTCTTTAATTGCTGAAAAACAACTTGAGAGAGAATTTCCTTTTCCACATTGTGAACATGTCCACTTGACAATACCTTTAATTTCCGATTCTCATGTAAGAAATAAGAATATCACAGACAGCAACAACAAAGCAATAAATTTACAGAAAATGTTCCAATACTTTCCATTTTTTATGTAATTAAACAAAAATTTCTACACACTGTATTACAATCTGTTTATAGAAATAGTAACAAAATTATTCATAACACTCGGAGATAAAATATTGTAAGCGAAACCCTGGTTTCCAAATCCTGCACTTTTACTTCCATGTTGATTTTCCTGTTACAGTGAGTTAGCTTGTAATGACAGCCAGAAATGAGTACCATTACAGTAAACCAAGAGGACATTTACAAAGAAAGCCCTTCACCAACCCTAACATTGCTATGAGCCGTGCAGGTGAACATTTGGAAAGGTTAAAGTGTTAAGTGAGAGGTCATCCTTACACTATAGCCAGTGTGGTAAGGTCAGAGGTCAAGCAGGGTGTGGAGCTGCATTTGTATTAAATGACATGTCCTGGCCAAGTTTTATCACAAAGTCTCCTTTTGCTTAAAATGATGCATTAATTCAAATTTGATGTAATGTTTACAAGTTTGATAGAGTTGCAAATATTTATATTGATATGAGACACTGTAAGTGTGTATGGTTCTTGTGTCGCATAAAATGTGACAGACATCTTGACATGTACATAAAATTATATAACACTCTCATTAGTTGTCCGTAGTATCAGGACCATGTCATTTTCTGCACAGAAGGAACTGGTATGATGTGAGCTGTCAATGTGCAGGGCCATTCAAACAGTGTTTCCTACCTCGGGAACTATACTGGACACTACACCATTTCCTGGCCATGTCTGAACTCCTGTTGTTGGCCGAGCCACATTGATTTCTTCATACAAATCTGATTCCATTTGTTCTGTTTCCAAGGATTGAGGTTTGCTTTTTGATGCCGTGAGAGGGTCAGCTTTTTTGTTTTTGTCTGCATTTTGCACTGGTTCCTCATAGAGGCCTGAATCAGGCACATCTTTTGCCTCCTTTGTGGTAGAAGATGATTTCCTTTTCTTTATGTATTTATCTACCCAGCTCTTACCCTTTTTTTTATTCTTACTGCCAGAATTTGGTTTGGGTGGTGAAGTAGAAGCAGGAGTACTTTGACCAGTGTTTTCAGATGACAATGCCGGCACATTTCCGTATTGTCCTGGTATATCCTCAGCCTCAGAACTGGAGGTTGTCATAGACCCAAAGTCAGCAACAAACCCACCAACGGAGGCATCGTCATAAGTTTCATCCAGCCCTGTCTTGGTCAATGTCTGCTCAGTGTTACCTGTGGCAGCCCAGAAATCTCCTCCCCCAAAGGGGTCCTCTACACAATGCTGGGGAGTGGAACTTGACAACACATTTTCACCAAATGGTGGTTCAGTTCCTGCTAATTTCTGTGATGCTTGAACTTTACCAGTTAATTGACCAAAATTTTCGGCCGTAGTCTCACCTAGAACTGTGTCTAATCTTACTGGGGAATCTTTCTTGTCACCTGAATTTCCCAATTCCAACTTTTCTTTGTCTGCTTGGTCTTTTGTTTTTCCCAGTTCTTGTGTCCAGAATTCATTTGGCAAATCCTCATATATTGCCTCAGGTTCAAAATGTACAGCCTTGGATTGATTCTGTCGTGGTGGCTTTGGTGGTCTGGGAGGGATATTATTGACAGAAGGAAGAGGAGGGGGACAAATGTCCTCATAAGTAGGCTCTGGACTTTCTGTGACATGCGGCTGGCCAACATTACCAGCTGGAAAGGCCACTGTCGCTGTGAGGTTACTACCAGGACTGATAATAGTGGACTGTGCTGTTGGGTTCAAGGTGTGATGGGAATTGTTTTGTAAATCAGTTGTCGATGTACTTACATTCAAATTGAAACTTGTGGCACTTTCTGTTGGAAGGTTAGCAAATGCGTTTATTATTTCCTGGTCAGTGTTGGGCGACATAAGGTTTCTTCCCAATGCTATGACATCAGTCATGTGTTTATTTTCTGGGCCAGCAAAGGGGTCACCACCTCCAAATGGATCAGCTGTCGTTCCAACATCTTCAGAATTTGACTTACTCTGACTGTTTCCACCACCCAGCATCTCTGTCCCACTTGTAATCCCAGTATCTCCAAATAGGTAAGTACTTCCTGTATTTCCAAATGGGTCTGTTCCTCCAAATGGGTCTTTTCCTGTGGCAAGACCACCAGTTGAATCATTTTGACTTTCTGCAAATGGACCAGACAATGTTTCAGCATTATTTCCTATATTTACAAAGGGATCTGCTCCTGCAAAAGGATCAGTTTCTGTTCCAAAATTCTTCTGACTTTGTGCGAAGGGATCTGAAGCATTAAAGCTAGAGAATGGATCATCCTTCAATGGTTCATCATTCTTGGGGCTGCCAACTTTATCCTCAGGATCTAACTTTAGACTGTTCTCATTAGTAAACGGATCAGCATTTCCGAAATCTCCAAAGACTGGAGCAGGACTTGAGGAACTCTTCAATGTATTATTAGTATTCACTGAACTGCTAATAGGATTTCCCTCCCCTATCATCTGCTTGGTTTGCTTTCCTCCTGATCTTTTCCTCCTGACTGGAGGAAGTGGTGGTGGAACATCATCTTTGTCAGGTTTTGATGGTGGCGTGTCCCGACTTACAGTCAGATCAGTTGTAGATGACAGACCATCAAAATTGAAGGCATCAAAATCAGAAAATGTAGTCTGTTCTGTTGTTTTGCTGGTTTCACCTCCAAAAGGGTCA